TGGAGTATATGAATGAAGATAAAAGCTATCCAGTATTTGTGATTCATCACATACGGGAAAATAATGGATTTAGGTTAGGGTTAGGGTTAGGGGCATACATATGATAAAATCAACCCCAAAAATGGGGGTTTTATATATAACATATATATATATTGTACGTAGCATGCAAAGCAATGCAAAATGAAAAAAGAAGAAATGAAGAAGACGAAAATGAAAATGAACATAAACGACAGAAAATTGATGACAAAAATAAAAACGATATAATGGTCACAATTATTAACTCTAAATCAAAGCAGCGATGCATAAAGCTTCCTCGAGAAATAAAACTTGATGAAATTCGCACACAGCTTTTAAAAAAAAATGAACATGACAGCGATCATGATTTTTATATGGGGTCAAATTGTCGTTTTTTAAATTCTAAAAACAACACAGAAGATAAACCCCCGATTAATCCAAGTGATGAACACAATTTCTGCCTTTCGGAAATCGTAAGCGATAGTTGTTTATTATATATTAGTCAAAATTCAGAATTCGATTTGACAGTATTAAGATTTGAAAAAGGGCTCAAACTTAATGAAGATGGTTCCATAACAACTGCACATGCTCAAGCGTTCCACATTAATATTGATAGAATTAAAATTAATAAAAATATGACTCAAGAAAAAAACAAAGAATATGAATGCACTCATAAATCAACCACAGATTGTAAATGCACTTTTTTACTTGATGGAAAGTTGCCAGTCGTTTGTTTGTCGTATGAAAATTCTAGCCAAGCGCATACTAACCACACAATGAAAAATCAATATTCATGTCAATGGGTGCAAAAAGGCGAAATAAGAATTCCTGATGTTAAAATTGATATTGAAGTAACAGATGGCTTTGTTAAGGATGTCGAAAAAGCATTAGATGAAACAATCCAAGATAAAAAAAGTCAACTTTTCGAAGTCTCTAAAAAATATGGTGACTTTTATGCACGAAGTCTTATTTTGGGAGGGACCATAATAAAGAATGAAAAATATACTAAAAATTCAGGTTTTTATTAAAAATTTTTTAAAAAACAGATGATTTCCTCAATTTAATTGCGCACCGATATTTAATCTTATAGGTGAAACTTCTAAGCTCAATAAGATTAATGGACAAACTAAAGCCAATGTAGATACCGAGAAGTGGGGTGCATATTAAATTTTTTTTTTAATAAACCGTCGATTTCAATAATTTATTTCATACTTAATCTATTTTAGATGGAATTTATAAAGTTACGGCTAACGTACAAGCAAATGCACAAGCTGATTATGATCGAAGCAATATTAAAAGTTTTATTACTACAAATAATGATGAAATAATTATCGGCGGAGATGAAACTGAAGATAAAATTACTTGGAGAAAGTCTCTCAAAGATCAAACTACCTGGAAAATAATTGGATATAAAGATTATTTTTCATTGTTTGAATTATTAGAGGAGCCTTTACGAAATAAGGTTTTAGGTGTCTTGGGTCACCAGATTTTAAAAGGTAAAGGTTTAATATTTCACGAAGCATTTTATATGATTTTCACGAAATCTGATAATTTTTTGTCTCTTTATAAATAACAGCAAGAACCGACAAAATAACATTTGATATAAAAAAATATAAAGAAGATAAAAAGCCATGCATTTTTTCTTTGTCACCATACATAGGTAGTATTAGAAATATTATTAGCGAATGCAATATTCTTGCATCAATTGTGAGTGAAAATGACAATGATAATGTATTTTCAATGCATGTGGAGTATATGAATGAAGATAAAAGCTATCCAGTATTTGTGATTCATCACATACGGGAAAATAATGGATTTAGGTTACGGCGTAAGACAACAGTTGAAATTAAACTGTGCTGGATCATTGTCGGGCCTCCAACGAGCTTCGATTTTAGTGTCCAACGTCTACATGTGTGCAAAAGCGAAAAGCCATCTCTTGAAGATAACTATTGCATAATAAAAAATTGTGGCAAGATTGGCACTTGCGTATTGAAAATAAATGACAACATTACTCTGGCAGAACCATGTTTAGATGCAGAAAATAATACTTACAGCATTAATAGACACGATCCGAAAAAATCAACATATGTCATTGGCAATTATTTTACTTACAATGGGTCTGCATGCTTGTTTATTTACGACATCAAGGAAGGAAGGAAAGTAACAGATCAGACAGTTTTGAACCGATTGGATTTATATAGTTGGTAAGTAAATATTAATTGACAAAATATATTACTTTCGAATAATAAAATTTCAGATGCCAATTAATATATTATTACTATCATATATGATATTTATGCAATATTTTGTTTAGTAGATGTATAGAATCATTTTTTAAGTAAAACCATTATATTTTTATATTGTTTTTATGCTTGTATCTTTCTCGAATGTGATATGAATCTCAATTTTTGTAAATAAAATTGAACATTTTCGGTCGACATCTAGATTATTACAACCTCGTGTAAAAACCTGGATATTAATATTTCACTTTTTATTTGACAGTACTGTAGAAGTGTCCGAGGCATCTGAGACATGCTGTGAAAGAAAAATTGAATGGCAAAAAAGCAACAATGAAATATTATATGGTAAAAGGGATTTTGGGCTTAATGACAATTTAATCTTGGTGAATCAAAAATGCACAGGTTGTACAAGTTGTGAGCATCATGGATTTGTTAATCTCATTTCTGGTAAAATTATTTATGGACCATTAAATCAGGAGTTCTCAGATTTCGAGGGATCAGTTGTTTATTTTATAGTTCCTTCAAGATATATTAATAAGGAATAATAGGAAAATTTTTAGGTTATATAGCCGTACCTGTATTATATCTCCACTGGATTATATCCCCTCTTATTAGTTATGTTCCCATATTTAAGCAGAATAAAGTTTCTTTTTTATATGTTTTATATATGGAATTATATCCCAACTTAGTTAATCTTCAAACAAATAAAAAAAAACCGTATAGAAAAAAGGGCAATATTTCTAGAACCGATTATAAAATTTATAAGATATATGCGAAGGTGAGTGCCACCAGCTCTCCTATTATATTACTTGTGCCAACTTTGGTCAAATTCCTTAATTCATGTCTATTTCTCCGACATGCTATTACTCAATATCACACTGGGCAGTTTACTAATAATATGTACCCACAATTAACAAAGTTAAATTTTCACCTTTTGTAATATCGAGTAAATAATATGCCAGGGAAAGTTTGAGAAAATGAACGTCAAACATCAGTTAGATTATATGCTCATTATTTTGTATAACAATTTGCATAGATTTAACGTTCCACCGAACTCATTTCATCGATATTTTTGTTTCGCCAACACTTATTTTACCGACAAATTTTATTTTACCAACATTTTATTTCAATGACACTCAATTCACTGAGAAAAATTCTGTTAACTTTAACTCTAATTCTAACCTGACCCCAACAACAATGACCAGAATTATTTTGTTGAAATGAACATGGGTGAATTAAACTATTGGTGAAATGAACTAGTTGGTGAAATAAGTGTTGGTGATAAAATATTACGTCTATGAAATGAGTCGATGAAGTGAGCCATACCGATGATGACGTTAATTAATAATAGAAAGTATTGCACGTATGCTTATATCGAAATAATCTGGTTTGACATCAAGTTGAATTTATTCGATAAATGCAGTTTATATTGCTAAATCTGAAACAGGATATGTAATTAATATTGCGCCAGAGATCACTATGTATAAGCAGTTGAGTTTGCGCAGCTTAATACCAGTGGTTTCTTACCTGCATGTGATATTTATATTAAGTACTATAATGTGAAAATGACAAATTATTTTGGAGAGAGGCCTGGGTTGTGATTTGAAATTAGAGTTATGTAATTGTTGCATATTCTGATTGACAAAAAAATTACTAAATTCTTCCCACTGTAAAACGGTTACATTTCATGACTACTATTACTTCATTTTTTTGTAATTCATTAAATCTTGTATATTATTTTGATCATTTTTTTTCCTTTGCTTCATTTTTCTTAATCTCTCATAGCTATTACTTCATAGTTTGTAATTTCAAATAAAATTACTTCATTTTATTTACTATAAAAAGTGTAAAAAAGATAAAGTAAAAGATATATAAGAAAGTAGCTTTGGACAAAAGAAGAGAATAATAATATAACTTTGTACTTAATCTTCTTTATGTAAATAAAAGTAAATAAAGACTATTTGTAACTATAATAAGCAATCTTTAATTATTGTAACACACATTATAATAAATCCAAATTAATACAGTTATCTGTATTATTAATAATTATAAAACTTTTTTTTTGGTGTTAAGGTGAGGTTATGCATCATGTATCTTTATTAAATCATAAGTTTATACACTACTATACAACCTTGTTGCTCACTCATGTACCTACTGACTGATTAATCCCAGAATACTAGACTCAGACTACTTTATCTATAATCTAAACCTACTAGAGCCTTTATGTCTGACCTGAATTTTTTATATGTACTACTTCTGTTAATCAATTTCTTATCTATAAATTCTCCATATTTCTTATACTAACAACATCATACTTCTAGTTTGGTACTTAGTGTAGTATTTGTTACAGATTCTATTAAGAGGCACTCAGCAATCATAGTCTCATGGTTGCTTCCAATGCTGGTGTTATAGTTTTATATGATGTTGGTTATATGCATGCAGGTTTTGTTAACAGGTACTTTCTGAATTAGTGTATTATAGAATTGGGTGTCAAAACTTTCAACTGAGTTTTTTGTGATAGAGTCACTTCCAAATTAAGGGTATTTTAACACTCTTGGTGCTTACTAATGTTGGTGTTTCTAGTGTTACATTTTGTATTGCTACTTCTAGTTGAATACAACCTTGTTATTTTTTGTTGTATTTTAAGCATACTTCAAGTTCCCTGCTAATCTCTCTTTATTTAGGGAATCTATATTTTAATCTGGTATTGTACAAAATACTAGAAATATTTCTAATTCTCACAGGTTATTCTTGTGTTTACCACTTTTCTCAACATTTTAGGTTTATTACTATCATATTACTCTTTCAAGCAAATATCCCAACTATTAGAAATGTTGAAGCTGCCCCAATCACCTCTAATCAAGAACTTATATATGCAATCTTTGTATAACAGAACCTTCTTTGAAGGATATACATATTGGCACTGCTTCACAATTAGATCTCCTTTTTGAGAATTTCCTTTTCTAGTTTTATATATATACTTGAACTTAGTCACAGTATTTCGCATTTAATAACAGTATCTCTTTTTAGATTACAAAAGCAGAAAATTTTAAGATTTTTTGTCTTCAGCCTAACTTAAACCATTGACCTAGTCTGTGAGGTTTGGCAACTTAATAACTAAGCTATAGGGCCCAAACCTAATAATTATAAAACTTAAAATAAGTATAACCAACTTGTTATATATTTTATTAAGTTATAAAATTCTGTTATACTCCTAAATATAAAATGCATAATTAAAAACATAATTAGTTGTATAACAACTCTTATATAAAATATTGAGAAATATATTTAATAATATATTATTAGATGATAGTAATAATATCATGTAGTAGTAGATAATAAAATATATATAAAAATAATAAATTTTTGAAAAATAATAATTATCTTAAAGAACAAAATCAGCTAAATAATCTTAATCAATATAATAATCAAAATTAATTTGCTTTATAATTATTGCAAGTAATAGCTAAAGTATTAGCCTAGTATTAGCTAAAATATAGAATAGATTACCTTTTTTTTTAACTAGCATTATATTAATTTTTGGCCAACATTATTATAGGAGACCTGTGCATGATATATTATATATACTATATATATAACATACTTTATAATTATATTTTTAGTATATACTTTAAATTTTAAATTATATATCCTATTTTAAAGTATACTTTAAAAAGACCTTTTTTAAGTTATATAACTTCTATTTTAGAGTTTAGAATTTATTTTTATTATTATTTTTTTTTAATATTAATGGTGAGGCCATGCCTCTAACTTTATTGAATATTTAATTGAGATTATAATATAAAGCATT